CTACTAGAAACCTTGACAGGCTTTTTATTAAGGCCCCTAGATTAGGATTAACTATTTATAGTTTTTGGCAGTTCAAAACTTTCAAAACAAAACAATTAATAACTATAGTCTATAATCTTATATACAAAGTTGATTGTTCAATTGATTATACATAGTATATAGCAACGTAAATTACATGTATAACCACTACCTATAGTACATGTTAACATGCATATATATAATATACACATATACACACATATATACACGCATATGTATATACATATATATATAGTTCATAGTTGCAATGTATGCGTATAGAAACTTCAAGAAGTTCAAAATACATGAAATTGTCGTTTAGTCTATTAAGTCTAAGATTAAGTACTGCAGTTTTGTAAGAGGTGCTTTTTAATTATTTTTTTAAAAGATTGAAGGGATCTAATATTTTTATATTTTTTTTCTAAACCATTCCAAATATCAACTCCCTTGTTTGAAAGAGTATGTTTTACATAATTGGTTCTTTTATAAGATTTATGAAGCTGTGATTTTTCCTTGTATTGTATTGATGAACATCATTATTAACTGTGAAATAGTTGGTGAATGCTTCGGGTAAATTTTTTAAGTTAAAATATCGAAACATCAATAAACTGGTTAAAAAGTCATTCACTTGAAAAATGTTTAGTATTTCTAAATGTTTGAAAATAGTTTCAGTGTGTTCAGAGTATGACTTAAAAGTCATTATGCGCATAATTATCTTTTGTATATTCATTATCTTTTGAATTCTAGTTTTATACGTATTACCCCAGATTAGGTTCCCATAAATCAGATATGGATAGACCAGTGCATAATAAACTAGCTTCAGAGTATTAAGATTGGTAAAATGACGTATTCTGGAAATGATACTTGATGCTTTTATAATTTTTTTAGAGATTAAATTAATATGTTCTTTCCAGGTTAAGCACTCGTCAATAACAACGCCTAGAAATGTAGTGTCTTTAACTTGCTTAATTATTTGTTCATTTATAGAAATAGTTACATTATGTTTTTGTTTTTCTTCGATGATCTAAATAACATAAATTTAGTTTTCGCCGTGTTTATAGATAATTTATTTATATTCAGCCAATCCGATATTTTATTGATTTCTATTGCATTATTTCATTAAGTGTTTTTGAAAAGTTTTTATATGAAAAGAAAGCCTTTCGCGAATGAGTAAATCCGCTTCAGAAGTAGCAGTGGAAAGGATTTTAAAATCAGAGGGTGAAATTTGATGTTTAGTGGTATGCCGATATGAGCGAGCCGTGCCTGACATTAGAGAGGTTAAGATACCCCGGTTCCGGTTTACGGGTACGAGTATCGCCATTTTGTTTACCAATTTTTGCAGATGTCAGCAATTTTACCCGTAATTTCTACCCGTTTCCCCGCGGTAAACCATGGTCTACACGTAAACGACAAACGGGTACGTGTGTTTTCTGTTTACTATTTTTGGGCCGTTTAAATAGTACAAACTTTCAACATCTTACCCAAATAAATAATGCACATATGCTGGTCAAAGTTTTCAACAATTTATGGCGAACCTCAACAGCGAAAGTTGCCATTCTCTGATCGGTTTTCTCACGCCGGAGTATCTTGGATTTCTTAAGTTAGAAGTTATTCCCCGATTTACGGGTACGGGTACGTGTGTATCACCCGTACCCGTAAACCGGAATCGGGGTATCTTAACCTCTCTATTGTTGAAACGTTACAGAACGTTTCTTTCCAGTCAGGGATGAAACACCCATGTATCGCGTATCTCTGAACACATTGATTTGTTTCATATTTCCATTCCGGAAACCTTGCATGAAAATCAAATGCAACACGTTAATTTCTGGAATGCTGTTTCGAAAATTTCGGACAAATGGACAATCTATATATTGTTTCACGGCAGGAGCATTTTATATATAGGTCAGTGGGCAGGAGTCTATATTCAGTTATGGCGTGTACGAATTCGTCACGCGAAAAACGCGTTCGGATTGTGCACGCATAAGATGGATTTGTTAAGTGTGCAACTAAGTATATGGTCCTACAATTAGAATTGTAAATATTTTAATCTGGAATAACCGTTTCAGCGCAAATTACCGGTATATCAATGACCTGTTTATGCATACATATATTATTTTCTGATCATGTTCTAGTCTAACTAGTGCTTGGCGGCCATTTACTTTTTAGAGTTGTCGATTGACTTGCTATTCGTAGATTCATGTATCATTATTTAACAATTTTATTGAGAATTCTACAACGTTTTAAACACAACAGTTCTATGTAGAAATAAGTAGAATACTCAAATTGACAATATCAAGCACGAACGAGACATAAAGTCCCATGCAAGGTGCTTACCATTCTAAAACTATACAAAACAATAAAATAGAACAAAATACAATACAAAACAGCACAAACATGAAACACAGTTATTTACTAAGTTCTATGACATGGACAGTCACGCACTAATGACCATGTACATGGCATTTCTATGTCGAACATTGTTCCGAGCAAGTGTTCATATGTGTTTCTAATGTTTCTTTTAAACGAGGAGAGGGTGGCGAAGGTGGTAGGAGGTAGAATTTTACAGGTATAGTTCCATATTTTAACTAGTCGGTTGAAATAGGATGCTTTGAATGTGTTGGATTTACAGAGGGGGGCTTTAAGGGTGAGGGAGGGATTTTGACAGAGTCGGGTCCGATTGTTGTTGGAAAAGGAGACAAAGGTGTTAACGTCCAAATCTGTGTTGCCAAAGAGAGCCTTGAAGAAGAATACCAGATCAGAAATCTCTCTTTTATAGCAGAGGGGGAGCAGGTTGAGATTCATTAGCCGTTGTTGGTATGTCATTTCGCCATGCTTGGATTGTAGTATCCACGCGGTGGCTCATCTTTGAACGCTTTCGACTCTAGACTTGAGTTTGACAGTGTGTGGAGACCAGACTTCACTAGCGTAACATAGTTGAGATCTAACAAGCGAGAGATACAGCGTTCGTCGTACTGTTTTGTCTCTCAAAAGAGGGCAAGTTCGTTTAAGCAGCCCGAGCATCTTGTTAGCCTTACCCGTGATTGTGTGGATGTGAACATCCCAATTGAAGTTGGCACTGACGCAAACACCAAGGTCTTTCTCTTTATCCACACGCAAGAGTTCCTTTGAATTCATGTGGTAGACATGCACGAGGGGAGTCTTTTTTCGTGTGATGGTCAGCACCTTACATTTCGACTGGTTGAAATCTAGGTTGTTATCATGACTCCAACATTCAAGGCTGGTCAAGGCGTGTTGCAGAATTTGACAGTCATCTTCCGATTTAATTGATTTGTACACTTTGGTGTCATCTGCATACAATGCTGCCGAGGTCTCGTCTGGTAGTACATTTGGAAGATCGTTTATAAAGATCGCAAACAGAACAGGTCCTAGGATACTTCCTTGTGGCACACCAGATGTTACAGGTGCCCAGGAAGATGCAACTCCATCTACCACAACTCGTTGACAACGACCGCTCAGATAGTCTTCGAACCATGCATACAACTGTCCTGATACGCCATACTGTTTAAGTTTGTGGAGAAGAATATTGTGGTCAACAGTGTCAAATGCCTTTGCAAAATCTAGGTAAACGATGTCTGTTTGGGTGTTCTTGTCGAGAGATTGTCCGATAGTATGAAGAACAGATAGGAGCTGAGTGACACATGAACGTTGTCTGAGGAAACCATGTTGAAATTTGGTGATGAGATGTTTGACATGATCATAAAGTCTGAAACACACGCCACGTTCTAGAACTTTTCCAAGGATGGGGAGCAAAGAAATAGGTCTAATAATATAATTTTCGGCTGGTTCTTTACAATCTTTCTTGTGGATAGGCGTAACATTGGCAGATTTCCATTCAGAAGGGATCTGACCGGTGTGCAGCGAATGATTGAATAGTTCACAAATGCTGGGTGCAATTTGGATGCTGCATTCTTGCAGAAGACGAGTTGGAATGCCGTCGGGGCCACATGCTTTGAATGTGTCAAGATTGTACAAACTTCGCGCAACTTCTTCCGCATTGAGTGTTATATTGGAAAGCTCCTCAATTTCTAATGGTTGAAGCAGATCACAGATACCTGATTTTGAACCTGTGGAAGGTGAACGAAATACGGAAGAGAAGTACGCGTTGAAAAGTGTAGCTTTATCTTTTGCAGATTTAGCAGTAACTCCGTCGAACGTTATTTCGTGATGCAGATTTGCTCGGTGGCGTAGGATAGCTTTATGGTAGCTCCAGAACAGCTTTGGATTGACAGAGAAGGAACTTTCAATTTTAGCCAGATATTCTTGGTGTTTCCGTCTAATGAGACGCTTAGTTTGTTGAGTAAGGGATCGCAGCTTTCGCTTCCGAGTTGCAGATCTATTCATTCGGTAGTTTTTTAATGCACGGTATTTCTTGCGGATAAGAATCCGGACTTCTTTATCAATCCAAGGGGGGGAGTTGGTGTCCTTAACAGTTCTTACTGAAATATACTTTTTCACGGCAGTTGAGAACGTTTCCTTCCATTGTTCCCAGTAGTTATCAATATCATCGGTGGGAGTAATATTAATGGGATTTCTCGTGAGGAAATTGCGCAACTCATCAAATTTACCGTTCCTGTAGTCAAAAACTCGGCGTTTAACTGGCTTGGCTCTTTTAAACTTCAGTTGAACATCAATTTCCACGACGTAATGATCTGTTGGGAAACATTCAAGAAGGAATGCAGAAACGTCACCGATGATTTCTGGAGAATTACATAGCAAAAGGTCGAGTTTATTACCAGCGATGTGGGTGGGACCAGATATGAACTGTTGAAGGAAGTTGTCGTCCACCATTTCGCAAAATGCTTCATTCTCATTGGACCCTCCGGTATTCACAGGAACATTTTCATAACTCGACCATTTAACAGATGGTAGGTTAAAGTCTCCGATCATCACAATACGACTCGATTCTTGGTTTCTTTGGAGTGAGTTGTTCAGTGACTGAAGGACATCAGGCGTAGAGTCAGGAGGGCG